GGATGGGCATGGTCGTGGCCAGAGTGGGTGTGGCCAGCTCAACGTTACTCGTGTTGGGGGGGGGTGCCTGTGGTGGGCCAAGTGCTCTGCCAGTGAAAACAGGCTCCCGAGCTCTATTTTCAGCTGTGACAGCCTCCTGCAACCCTCTGCCAGGCAAAAAGGAGCTCGGGAGGGTTGCATGCTGCCCTCCAAGCTCTTTTTGCTGGCAGAGACACTGCAGGCTGGTCCTTTGCTGTTTCCAGGGGGACCCTGTGGGCCAGATCTAAGCACCCTGCAGGTCGGATTCGTGGGCCTTGAGTTTGACACCTCTAATCTAGAAGAACATAAAGTACAGTAGGGAAACTGAGTTGCTGGGAGAAGCCAGAAATCCTGGAGAGAGTGATGCTTGGTGCCAAACTGGACATATCTACTCTCTGCCTGATAATAAAAACTGTGTAAATAAAACCAGGCTTCAGTACAGAGGGGTACAACCTAAGGACCCACACTTGAAAGTTGTGATCTCAGAACCTATCTAAAATTGTGGCTCTGGAATCCTACTTGTGGCCACAGAGTCCATCTAAAGTTTCCTCTGAACTGTTATTACTAATGTGATTGAATGGAAACATTAATACATCCAGGGCTTGCTGTAATATTAACTATAATTAAGTGAATTTAATGTGTAAAAGGAATTAAAATTTAATTTAATGGGGATCATTTCTTTGTCCTATGCATAGCCTCACATTTAGGAACAAATTTTATACAAAAGCTAGTGGGTGAATCTTATAGGCCTTGTCCCCGATAGGAATGTATGCACAAAATTCCATGAAAGATTATGTTTGAGAATTACACTTTATTCACAGATAACAAAGAAACTGGATTTATTCATAAGAGATTAACTCCAAAGCCTCAAAGTTCTGTTTGCTGAAATTGCCCGTTTTGAAATGTATGATTAAGTGAAATGCTATTTGGAAGACAATTTGTTTTTATTTAGAACCATGTTCATTTTATTATTCATTTCCCTGAAAATTGTTCTTATGGTTGCCATTTGGTGATTCTTTTTGCAAATAGTATAAAAGGACTCAGCTTGCTTATCTATCTGTCTGTCTGTCTGTCTGTCTGTCTGTCTGTCTGTCTGTCTGTCTGTCTGTCTGTCTGTCTGTCTGTCTATCTATCTATCTATCTATCTATCTATCTATCTATCTATCTATCTATCTATCTATCTATCTATCTATCTATCTATCGGTTCGATTTATATGCCGCCCTTTTCCGGAGACTCAGGGCAGCTTATAATGCATTAAGCAATAGCCTTCATACTTAGTAGGATTTTCCTTCATGCTTAGTAGGATTTTCGCCCCCCCGCAAAAGCGGTGTTCTTTTTTTATACAAAGTCAGCTTATTGCCCTCACAAACCGGGTCCTCATTTTACCTACCTCGAAAGGATGGAAGGTTGAGTCAACCTTGAGCCTGGTGAGATTTGAACTTGCAGTAATTGCAGGCAGCTGGTGTTACTTAACAGCACTTTAGTCTGCTGCGCCACCAAGGCTTGACGTCTGTGGCTCTAGATAGCTAATTAGAAGAGAGTTGTTGAACTTAATATCCATGGAACAAGAGTAATATTCTACATGAATATTGGAGAGCCTACCAGGTTGTGGAATGAAGTCTTCGCCGAAAACTGTTAGGCAGAAAGATATATGCACGTGCCAGTTTATGGAAAAGACATGTTTCTGTTTCCACAGCTGTGGTTTACCAATGTCTATCTTGCAAGCAGATATGTGTGTAATCTTTTTCACACAATAATTAACTCCTTCTCCACATAATTGTAACGGGAGTAACTTGTGGCAGAGCTGCATACATAACTCTCTGTTAACTGAACTCTGCATTGCATAACGTGTCTCTCATCACCCCATCACTGATCCTTGGAAAGAAAGCTTATGCTATTACTGTGAGTGCCAAATATAAAACAGAGATTAAAAAGACAAATGAGCATCCTTTTAATTTTTGCTGAATGTTAATCATCTTGGTGATTGTGAAAGATTTGTGAAAATATTTATTCAACGCTAGTAAAGAGGAATAAGAAAACACTAGCTGCAATGTATATCCGTTTTGTCATTCTTGCATATAATTTAATTTAAGAACTCTGTCAAGTCTGTCATGAAGTGCACACTTAGAAGTATTGAATTAATTGGTTTCACATTTTGTGTAAAGATTTTTGAGGGTGGGGGGAGAATAGTTCAGCTACTACCTCAACAATCTGAATGAAAAAAAAAAAGGGAAAGGGCAATGGAAAAAGCAAAATTGGAAGTACAGAAAAGTCCCCCCCCCCGTTTCTTTGTATTTTACCTTCTTTTGAAACTTAATACAATTTGTGGAAAAATATTCTGAATTGGAAACCATGTGCAAATGTCTTTGTAATTTAGAGAGCTGTGGTGGCGCAGTGTTAAGAATGCGATATTGCAGGCTAATTCTATTGACTGCCAACAGTTCGATTCTCACTGGCTCAGGGTTGACCGGCTCAAGGTCTTCCATTCTTCTGAGGCCAGTAAAATGACTCAGATTGTTGGGGGCAATATGCTGACATTGTAAACTGCTCAGAGCGGGCTGTAAAGCATTACGAAGTGGTATATAAGTCTAAGAGTTATTGCTAACTAATTTACATTCCCTTTCTGCTGCTTGACTACAGATTTTAGATTTTAGATTTTAGTTCTACAGAGTAGAAGACTCCACTCTGAGGCCTAATTCATGAGTTTTTCCTTTTTGAGTTTCTTGAGTATCTTCCTCATATGAGGGTGGCTACTCGGTTGTAAAGCAGGATTAAGTATCTGCCTCAGGCAACTGAGTTTACTGTCATAGAATGGCACTAAAATCATTGGCATTTTTTTGTACCAGATACCAAAATAATTTTACCGGTATTGTCCACTTTGGGTTGTGGGAAGAAGTACTCTACTTGCTCATTACTTTGAATAGCAAAATTCACCTATATAAACCACAGTGCTTTTTGTGAAATGTGCGCTTTTGACTTCTCAATATCCCATGAAGGGCTTCCTGCTATGACCTGACATATCCAAGTTATTACTTCCTGACTAAGTGGTAATTATTTGCTTTCAGCCTTATATGTATAGTACAATATATAAAAAGAGCAAGAGTTTAAGCTTATTGAGAAATAACATGCTTTTGTTGCTAATTGGGTGAATACAATACCATGTAAGTAACTTAGATATCCTTTTGTGATTATTATCTTGCTGAGGAAAATACCGATGTATATTACTTCACAGAATCAAGGTTTAATGATTTGCTTTAAAAGGAGGCTGAGTTATGTCTTGTATCAAAATAAGTATTTGTTGTTTCTTTTGCTTTCCATCTTTTTGCTTTCCTTTTTCTTTTGCCTTGAAATACATATAAAACAATAAATGGGGAATGTTAGAAATAAAAAAAGGCAAGGCGGTTTTCCAAAGGAGTATTAAAATATGTACTATAGAGGTAGTGGGCTTCATTTAAATACTAGATTTAATTTAAAAGCATCAAATTTGGGGACAGAATAAATACTGAAAACAGTTTGTTTTGTAGTAAGTATTTCATTAAAACAAAACATCTGAAGAAATGGGAATAACAATTTACAGTTGTCATAATTGCAAATAGGGTTCTTTAGGAAACAACAAGAACCATTTGCGAGTTAGACTTTCATTCCGAGATTGCACTTCTGCAGTAGAAATGCAATCTTAGAATGTGCCAATCCTTCATTTGTCAGTTCCAAATTATGTATTTTCAGGATGTTAATATTTTCCACATTGGTTGGCAATTCTAATTTGTTCTGAGTAAAGCTGGAGGTATACTGAGGGAAATTCCAGTACTTCCACAGAATTCTTCAGAAGTACAGTATCTCAGCAATTACCCAATACTGAACAGCTAGGTAAAATTTAGGTGCCTTTTCTATAAATACAGTAGTTACATTAAAAGTCAATACTTAAGGAAAATACTTAAAAAAGCAGACTTGTTCCAGAAAATGTCCATCAAGTGACCATTTGGGTTTTTGGCCCATGAACTCCCTACCCCTGACCCCTGACAATATTAGACCTGTGGAGATCCTTCAATGAAAGCTCCTTAGTCATGACTGAAGCACTTCTGTAGATCAATTCCTCAAAGGTGAGGAACATCTGCAGAGAAGTTTAGAGAGGTTGCTTCAAGCAGAGCGTCACAAAACAGCACTGCAAAGCCTTTGGGCAGCTAGAGATGCTTAACAATTTTAAGGTGAAGACCATTCTAGAGAGCTATTTGTTTGTTTGTTTGTTTCCTTCATTATGTTTTACAAATAAATACAAGCAGCAAATATAGCCACTACTAATTTCTCCTCTTATTTTCCCTACAACAAAAAATCTTGTGAGGTGGGTTGGGCTGAAAGAGAGTGATTGGCCCAAAATTATCCAGCTGGCTTTCATGCCTAAGGCAAGACTAGAACTCACAGTTTCTGGTAAATTAAAATTAAATTAATGAAGGATTTTGGACCTAATAATCACTGTTACTTCAATTCAAAATAGTTGCTGAATACATTTTCTTCTCTGAATAAAGTGCTACATCTAGGTTCCCATTACCATTCCCAAAGGTCCAATCCTATTTTTCAGTATCCAAACCCAATAATTGGATAAATTGTCAGCTTTGAAATTCCCAATTGTAGATGGAAAAGTTCAGAGACTGCCTTATCTACTACTATCCATTCCTGAATTGACAGAATACATGCTTGCTTAACAACTCTCTGTAAGTATTATTTAACAGAAAGAATCCCATATGCTGTAGGTTGTGACTTACTTCTGAAGAGTCATTTTGGTGCAATAGTAGGATTTCCAAATAACTGTAATAGCCTCTCATTTCTATGGGAGATTGGTCCCTGTCTACCATATCAAGTGCTAATAATTTACAAAGGACATGAAAATATGTTTAGTCATATCTTTGATAGCTTTAAAAATGAAATTATTCCATGTAAAAATCTGGCCTATTATGCCTCTTGCTCCAATTTGCTTCACATATGCTATGTTTCACAACTTTGTACTTTATTAAAATGCTTGGGTTCTTGAAGTTCTCCAAGCTAGCTTCTTTTCCTGCAGACATTTCATTACCAGGATAGGTAACATCATGGGAGAATGGGGTAGATTTGAGTTTCTGGTTTGCTATTATTTTGCTTGATGATGAGTATGTTCAGAAAGATGTTGCTATTCTTCTCATCTTCTCTTGTGAAACTGATTCCATGCTAGATGTTGATGGTTTTATGTTGGTTCTCAGCTGATCTTTTGAAGAATATGTCTTGCACATAATGGATCCATATTATGGCTTGTATCTGTAGGATTACTATTGTTTGCAGATGTTGTATTCACTAGCTCTATCAGGAATTCTGAGATGGGTGATGTAGAAAATTAGCACTTATCCTTCTCCTAGAAAAATGAAATATTTTGAGAAATATTAAGAATATTATATTTGCCCTAAAAAGAGAAATAAAAATCTTAAAGGGAGATAGAAACTCAGGGCCACAGTTCCCTGCCCCCAAGCAGATACTAAACAGAGGCCAGCTTTTAGAAATGCAGATTTAGTAGCCTCTTCATTACATCATCGCCCTCCATGTTTCAACCAAACTTAAGTCAGACAACTTTATATATGACCCCTGCATAGCTCCATGGGAATCTGACAGCATCCAATAGAATACATGTCTTGCCACAGGACCAGGAAGCTCAAGTTCAAAGCCCAGAGAGGGTATAAACAACCCTCACTCTCCACTCTATGTGGTCAGCTACCCAGAATCACACTTGCTTGGTGGTTCTGCTTCACCATTAAACCATCTTTACAATCAGCCTCCATGTTTCCCGTGTCTTTCTCCCCACTTGGAACTGAACCAGATGGATATTTCTTCCAACAGGTGATCTCATGGGTGATCCCCTCATCTGTTTGCATATTTGTCCGTCCTATTGGGAATTGGTAAGGTAGAAGTCCATAAATTGGGACATTATGATTTTTGTGTGATCTACTAGGCTTTGTGTTTTGTGTAGTAGTGCTTCATTTGATTCTTTGGCCAGTGTTGGATATATGAACTTTAAGAGTCCCATGACCTTATTTAAGAGAGGTTGGCTATATTATTGCCTAAGGGAATAAGTGGGACCTGTTTTGCATAAATACTACTAGAAACAAACCAAATCATAGTTCAAAGTACAACAATAGGTTATAATATTTCATCCGTTAAAGTGTAAACAGTTTGAAATACCATATAACTTTGTTGACAAATCTTGGTCTAAAATCTGGTTTGGTAATGGCTGCAAAAATTGATGCAGCTGCTTCAATTGTTCTTCAACTGGAATCCTCAACTCATTTATACAAGTATACATTCCACATTGGGCTGTATCAGTTTTTAGTCCAGAGAATAATTCATCTCAAAGTACGTTTCATACTGTTCTTAGACATTTTCCACATTTCTGTACACTCAGGGCAATAAATAACATGGAAAACTGTCACTGAAGCCCACTCCCTTCATTCCGTACTGGAAAGAAGCATTGGCAAGCCATTGCCACACTCTGAACTGGATGATTGTCTGTCTAGGAACAATGAATGGATTTACTTCTCAATCCCAATTTATTTTTGTTGGAATTGAACTTGATCTGTGCCAAGCTTTTTTTTTTTAAATTCCGTGAAGTTTTGGAATTCATTAAAAAAAAAAAAATCCTCCTATGCATTGAAGCTGAAAGTGTGGGTGTAAATAATTCAGCTATTTAAAGCTTTCTTTGAGTGCCTTATTATAATACGTTTTCCATCCATTGACAATGGAATATTACTCAACTGTCCGCTTATTTAAAACAAAAAAGGCCCACTTATGATTTTAAAATAATTAATTAAATGTACACATTCATACAAATGAGAGCCAGTTTAATGTCATGGTTAAAGGCTTCAGGCTAGAAATTGGGAGTCTGCATTTTATTCTGAAGACAGCTGGATGTCAGTCACTTTCCTTCAACCCTAGGAAAAAGCTAGCAAGCCACTTCCAAAACACTTGCTAAGAAAATTGTAGGGCAGAACCAGGAGTGAAAAAACTAACTCAAAGGCACATACAGCATATAAATAAGCAAAAAGAGCCTTGGTAGTACAGTGGTCTAAAGCACCCTGTTATTAAGAACAGCTGCCTGCAATTACTGCAGATTCGAATCTCGCCAAGGCTCAAGGTTGACTCAGCCTTCCATCCTTTCTAAGGTAGGTAAATTGAGGACCCAGTTGTGGGGGCAATAAGCTGACTTTGTATAAATATACAAAAGAATGAAGGCTATTGCTTAGCGCATTGTAAGCCGCCCTGAGTCTCTGGAGAAGGGCGGCATATAAATCAAATTAAAAAAAAAAAGGCCAAATAATTTTGTAAACAAAATCAAAGTTTGTTAAAACATCATATTTGTTTGCTAACTTAAAACATAAAAGATTAGCTGAACGTTCACCACTCAAGTCCAAAAATGTGCTTAAGCAAGTATATATATATATTAATATTATTAAATTGCCTCCTAAGAAATTTACCCAGTTTGAAATTAATATATTAACGTTTCTAAAATCTGAATCTTCCCTGGTATTTTCCATCTTAGCTTACTTGCCAGGGTTTTAACTCAATTTATATATTGTGTGAAGCTAAAATGTGGTTTATTTGACTTGGGTTACTGTAGTATGAACCCAACCATTGTTTGTCAACCATGGTTTATGGATCAATGTGTCCCATGCACTCAGTCAATTATTGTTTATTCAGTAAGCCATCTTTAATGCAGTTTAGTGCAGCATAAGAATCTAGTCAGTACTTACAACTTTTACCATCTCAGGATAGTAGAAATCTGAAGACAGATTCTTGTGTTTTGGTAATGGATTTATTCAAGATACAATAAATAGATTAAGATTTAATTGTCTGCAAAAAAAGAACCAACAGTAAGTATTTGATTGGTACACAATAACAATTTTGATTTGACCAAGCTCCACTTAGTTCAGTTTCCATTACTTCATTCACTCTTTAATTCCCAACTGAGTACATTGGAGGTACAAACAACTCCCATTTCAAGGAGAGAAACAGGGAGAGAAACTGTTCGTGGCAGTTACTAGTAATAGGACAAGCAGTGGCAGCAACAACAATAAAAAAATCCCCCTCTAAATGCCGGTTCGCTATACAACACCAATTACATTCGAGTTAGAGGTTTAAATATATTTCTCTTTAATTATAATAGGCATTCTATATTCACTGAATATTCACAGATAGAAGCGAAGAAAATGGTGAAGGTGGCTCCTTATATATACAAAGGGTGGAGCCAAAGTGGGAGTGGTGAATTATGAATACATTAAGAGTCAAAGAATAAGTTAACCCCTGATATCCCATATATACATTATTTACACATTAGGGAATAAGGCATTTACATCTGACAAATCCCCCTCTAAATGCCGGTTCGCTATACAACACCAATTACATTCAGATTCAGGACAATATAAGACATACAATTTGGAAGTTAAGTATTTGTGCTGTTTAGAAGGTAAAGGCTTCGTCAATATGTCAGCTAATTGTTCAGAGGTATCACAATGCACTGCTTTGATAAATCCATCTTGAGACAATTGTCTCACATGCTTAAATTTTATATCTATATGCCTGGATCTTTGTCCAATGGCATCGGATCTAGATATTTCAATGGCTGTTTTATTGTCTTCATGCATAACAAAAGGCAAAGCAGGTTTTTTCCAAACATCTGAAATTAAATCATTAAACCATACAAGGTTATTTGCAGCTTTGGATAAACAAACATATTCCGCTTCTGTGGTTGAAGTGGCTACCAGTTCTTGTTTACCAGTGTACCAGTAAACTGGACAGTCATTTAACAGAAAAATATAACCAGAAGTACTTTTCTGCATGATATATCTCCAGCCCAATCCGCATCTGCGTAACATGTAAGTTTTGGTTCTTTATTATCACTAGGTTCTAATACTAGGCAAAAGTCTAATGTACTTTTCAGATATCTTAAAATTCTTTTGACAGCTTCCCAGTGATACATTGTTGGTTTGCTAACGTGCCTTGATAATAAATTGAGTGGTAATGCAATATCTGGCCTAGTCCAATTAGATATATAAAAGAAGTGAACCTATGACTGATCTATAAAATGTATTATCCTTGAATTCAGGGGAAGATTCATCAGTATTTCTAAGGAAATCAGTTTGCATAGGAGTGTCACAGGGTTTGGCATTGTTTAAATTGCATTTGTTTAGAAGTTCAATAATCTTATCTTTCTGAGTAAGTTTGAATCCCCTTCTAGTTTTGTTAATTTGTACACCAAGGTATTTGTTTACTTTACCTAGAGATTTCAACGAGAAATGTTCATTTAGCTTGTTTACAAAGATTTCTCTTCTCTCTTTGTGTTTTCCTATATATAAAATATCATCTACATAAATCAATACAAATTCAATGTAATCATCACTCTTTTTGACAAAGAAACAGTTATCAGCAGTGGTAGCGTTGAAATCCATGGTCTTAAGTACTTTTACCAAGCAATCGTACCATCTTTTGCCAGATTGCTTTAATCCGTATAAACTCTTGTTCAATAGCCAAATTTCATTTTTATTAGTGTATTGACTGTGAGGTGCTCTTACATATATTTCCTTATCTAGTTTTGCGTGTAGATACGCAGTCTGTATGTCATATTGAAATACATCAAGATTGAGTGCGGATGCTACTACTAGAGCTGTTTTAACACTCTCTGTTCTTACTGTGGGGGAGTACGTGTCAGTATAGTCCTCCGGATATTTTTGTGCATAACCTTGTGCAACCAATCTAGCTTTGTATAGGGTATTGCCTCCTTCTAGGTTCTTAATTTTATAAATCCACCTGGTACCAATAATTGTTTTATCTTTAGGTGCAATCGCAGGTGTGAATACATTTAATCCTTGCAAACTTTCCATCTCTTTTTTCATAGCTAGTTCCCATTTTTCTTTTCTTCACGAGGGAGTTTTAATACTTCCTCATATGTATTAGGTGTTATTTGTTCACCATCCATATGCATTATGTAATCTCTGTATTTATTTGGTATTTGATTTCTGTTGTTCCTAATAGCTCTTTCAGGTTTGCTATGGTAGTCATGCAAATATCTTGCTTCCTTTTTTGTTAATGTGTCTGTCTTTATTTTGTGTTGACTATTTGTCCATGTTTTGGTTTTGTTTTTATTTTTGTTGATATTTTGATTTTCTATTGTCCCTTCCTCACGAGATTTTGTATCTTTGCATTTATTTGGAAATATTTCATTAAGATGTAATTTAGACCAGTTGGCCTGTTCATGGAACACAGCTGTTCTGGAAACTATAAATTTGTTATTATTATCAATGAATCTGTACCCTTTGGTGCCAGTTTCATATCCCATAAATCTTAGTCTTCTGGATACGTTTTCTCCCTTTCTTCTCAACTGTTTAGGTATGTGTACGTCTGCAGTGACCCCAAATATGTGCATGTGTGCTAATTTTGGTTTCCTATTATACATCACCTCATATGGTGTCTTATTCACAATACTGGACCAGGTTCTATTTTGAGTGTAATTTGAATAATGTAAGGCTTCTGACCAAAATTGTTTGCCTAAACCAGCATCCTCTAATGTGCACCTAATCATGGTTTGTAATGTGGAATTCTTTCTCTCTGCAATCCCGTTCTGGAACGCAGAAAATGGACTAGACGTGTAATGTAGCATTCCTCTATCCTTTAACCATTGGGAGAATTCTTTAGACATGAATTCACATCCCCTATCTGTCATAATTTGTTTTATTCTGATATTATGTTGTGTTTCTATGCGTTTGTAAAATTCCTTAAATTTTTGAAAGGTTTCATCCTTGTGTTTTAATGTGTAAACAAAACCATAGCGACTGTAATCGTCTACTATTGTTAGGAAGTAACGTTTTCTATAAGTGATTGATGGATGAGTTAATGGGCCAACTAAGTCCATGTGTACTAAGTCAAAAATTTTGTTAGTTGATCTGGTGGATTTTTTTGGCCTGGGACTAGTTTTTAGTTTAGTAGATTTACATACTGAGCATTCCAAATAATTTTCACAATTTTTTATTTTGACACCTTCTGCGTGTTCAGTCATTTTTTGTACTACAGGAAAACTTGCATGTCCTAACTTCCTATGTAAGATGTGAGCACACTCATCATGAATTGGTTTACCTATTTTTGGTTTCTTCTCATTGTGTGTATCTGTGTGATCATGAGATATTTTACATTCATCATTGTCACTGTTACTAATATTTTCATCATCTGCCTCAATACAATCTTCCATATTTGAATCAATGTTATGTAACCATCTTTCTTTTGTTATCAGATAGGGTAGGCCTCCTTTAATCATCACAGTGCCTACATTTGTTTTATTCTTCTCTAAAGTTGCTTTTCCCTTTGAGAAAACTATATTGATGTCAGAATCTCTGCTTAGTTTTATGGCACTTAGTATGTTATGAGGTATTTCTGGTATTAACAATACCCCCTCTATTTTTCCTAGACCAGGCAAGGTCACATTCCCTCTGCCTAATACTTGAACTTTTTCTTGATTAGCTACTTTATTACAAACTTATCTTCTGTAAATGAAGACAATATATTTTTGTTATTAGTGGTGTGATTAGTTGCCCCAGAATCAATAAGCCAATTATTGTTCTCATTTTGTTGCGTTTTAGTGCTGTCTTGTTTATTTAGTCCATTCAGTGAACCAGATTTTCTCTCTTTTGAATTTTCTCTGCCCCCTCTACTTTCTCTGTAATTTGGTGGGCTTCTATATTTATGTCTATCTGTGGAAGACTGTCTATAATTGTATTTATTCCTATATTCTGACCTATGTCTTTCCTTTGAAATTTTGGGACAATCTCTTCTATTGTGTTCCCTGGACCCACAATTGTGGCATTTAAAAGTTTCATTATATTTTTCTTGGAAAGCTACCTTCCTAAAAGATTTGTGTTCTGTGTGATTGCTATAACGATTTTTTCTTGAATTGTCTTCTGCTATCAATTTGTTAGACAGACTTTCTATTGATAAATATCCTAGATTGATGGTGTCTAAGTGTGACATAAAATTATCCCATGATGAATCAAGTGAGTTGATAATAACACTTTTCATTGTTTGATCTGAAATCACTTCCCCCTCAAATGCAGCTCAGCTCTTATTTTGTTTAAAGATATTAAATGCTCGCTTATGGAAACCCCTGGTTTTACTCTGGAAGAAAAGAAGTCCTTAGACATTCTTGTGGTGGTAGCTACACTATCGCTGTGAAACAAATTAAACATGCATTGAATTATTTCTGAAACAGTTAGATTTGGTTTGATGCTATGATACATTGCAGGAGACACGCTAGATATTATTAAGAAAAATACCTTATGGTGTAAACAATCTATTTTTAAAGTCCAAGGTCTTCTTGGGGGACTAGTGATAAAAAATAGTAAATTTTCTTTCATAAAGACAACCTGGAGCTGTTGATACCATTCTTGCAAATTAATGCCATCAACCCTAAGTTTTGGGAAGTCACTGGGTAAGTTTCCCACATTATTTTGTCCATTACTTACAACCTGAGGTAGTCCGTGGTCTCGCAAGTGTAGGAAATTGCAAAACGGCATGGGATGCTCGCAACGAGTCTGCGCGGTTCTCTGGCCAGTTCAAGTCTTCCGGACCGTCTACGTAGTTTCGCACATGCGCGTTGAACAATTTCTTCTTTGGCGTCGTCATGGAAGGTTCTCTCCATTGTAGCTCGCTCGCTCCGCTCCTCTTCAGACGAGTCGGTCTCTGGCTCGGTCTTAGGAGTTCTGATGGCGGCGACTGTTCTTCTCTTTCTTTTGGGTGCGTTGGCACTTGCTTCGGTCTGCGGTGTAGGGCGGAATCGACATGGCTCTCTGGGCTCGGGCGTCGTCGCT